GAAGCAGGAATGAACTGTGATAGACGTCAGCACAAAGCCCTCCTCTGTCAAGGGACACGTGACTCAGGCACTGGGGACACCACAGTGACCGCGGCACGCAGGGTGGGCTCGGAAACTCCAATCCTGCCCAGGGAACCAGGCAGCAGCAGGCCCGAGAGTGCGGGGCCCCCTTCCCGGTCCCGGCGCCCCACGTCCGGCCCAGCAGAGCTGCAGGTCTGCAGAAGAGCCCCTGCCTCGCCCTCTCGCTGCCCTGCACTCAGTACACATTGATTGCTTTACAATCTGCTTCCGCACCCAACAAGCATGCCTTGAGCACCTGCTGCATACAAATCCCGGCCTAGCTCTGGGCAGGGCGGGTGTGTGTGTGTGTGTGTGTGTGTGTGTGTGTGTGTGTGTGTGTGGACCACTAAACCCGGGAGCCCTTGACCTCAGGAGCCCAGAGTTCAGTGGTCTCCTAATGGCTCCCCCAAAGAGCTTCTGGGAGGTCTAGAATTATCTATTATTATTGAGCTCTAGAAGGTGGAACTCAGTGTGTGCGTGCGTGTGTGTGTGTGTGTGTGTGTGTGTGCGCGCGCGCGTGCATTGGAGGGAGAGGACCAGAGGAGGCCAGGAGGCTTCCTGGAGGAGGCAGGCTGGAGCCGGGCTAAAAGGAGGGGTGGCGTGTGGCAGGGAGGGCACAGCTGCGCAAATGCTTGGAGCCCCAGAGACTTCTGTCCCCGGTCCCCTTCCCGTGTTTGTCCACAGTCAGGGGTTCACTCCCACGGCCTGTGCCCCGGGAGGCCGGGTCCCTCCCGGACACCGCGAGCCAGCCACCCCCTCCCCCCACGTGCCGCTCGGTGCCCACTTACTCCAGAGGCCCTGGGACAGGTGCACGCTGCCGCCCGCTGTCTTGGGCAGGGAGCACTTCTGACACACGCATTCCTTCCCGTTGAAGGTCACTCGGTCCCCAGGCGGGAAGGGCAACCTGAAATAAGAGAACGTGTGACCGGCCAGCATTGCCTCCGGCTCTTCTCCTGGGGCGGGGGACCGAGACCCCCCTGCCCCGTATACCACCGCTTCCCCGGGGGCCTCGCGCAGACGGGTGCCGCAGGCTGAGGACACGCAGGGCCCCCCGGCCTGCTGCGAGCCCAGGCCAGTCGCCCACACCTAAGCCTCAGTTTCCTCTCTGTGCAAACAGGCAGAATCGCAGCGCCCCGGTGAGGGGCAGCGAGGGCCAGCCCCGTGCTTGGCTCACGGCAACCAACCAGGCAGCGTCGACGACTCCCTCCTCCATTCGACCCTGCCTCCTCTGACCGCCCAGGATGCTGTGTCCAAATCAGTTCAATGATAATGGCAACGGCGAGCATTTATTGAGCACCTACTCTATGCCAGCTGCCACGTCTTACCATAGACGCCTCACATGCATGCCTCACTTAATAACTTTAGGACATTTGTCCAAGCTGGAGTGTGCTTCATATTTGGCTCCCTAGGTGAGAAAACCCAAGTTCAGAGAGGACAGTTAACTTTTCCAAGGACACACAGCAGATGCATGTCAGAACCGGAGTCGAAGCAAGGCCTGCCTCGCTGCAGAGCCGCATGATTTACCTACTGAGGCCTCTAAAAAGTCAGTGCCTTGTAAACTGCCGACAGTTTAATTTTTGAAACTACCCCGCTGAAATATCGTTTACCTGGATTGCTGAGCGTTCTGGCACTTGCTGAAATTCTGCATCCAGAGTGAATCCCAGCCCCGGTGCGAGGCAGGTCACGGCCCGGGGCTGCCCTGAGCCAGGCCGGAAGGGGCAGCAGGGAGCCTACCAGCCTCCTTCACCGAGGACCTCCCCTCCGGGAAGGTGGCTGCTCTCTGGTGAGCCAGGGACAGGCCACCTGCAGTCAGGGGCCGGAAGACGGACCCGAGTGTCCTGCCCGTGTCCCATCCCGGCCACCTGCTGCCTCTGAGTCCTGGCAGCCCCCGGGCCATGTTCCTTCCCCGGCTCAGCCTGGCCAGAGAAGCCGTGCTCTGGGCCAGGAGCCTGCAGAACCCTCTGGGCCAGGAGCCTGGACCAGCACATGCCCTTTCCTCCGGTTAAACCTGTGTCGTCTCCACTTTGCCTTCTCAGGGCTGGACAGTCCATGGCACACCCCAGGCGCTCAGCAGGTGCCCGGTAATGCGGGAATGGGTGAGTGAACGAGTGAATGACCAGAGGCCCCCAGGAGGCCCGACTCAGCCGTCCTCACCCGGCTGGCCTCCCCACGAGGCCTGCCCGGTCACACCGGCCCCAGGCCAGCCCGAACCCTGCAGCAGCGGTCCCCCCAACAGAGCCTGCCATCGCCCCCACCTTGTGCGGCCGGTGGTCATTCAGCAGGTGTGTTCTCGGGTCCCCACCGGGCCAGTTCCTGCTCTTGGGGACCGAGGACAAATACAAGCTGAGCTGGCCTATCTCCCCAGGCTTGTGAGACAGCCCTGCAGACCTGGTTGCTCGGGGCCTGGAACCTTCACAGCTGACGCCTTGTGCCGTGTCACCTGTGGTCAGCGCTGTGCTCTGCTGCTCGCTCTTAGACTCTTGCATCTGGCCTGCTAATGTGCGGTGTTAGGACAGAGTGGGGGGTCCTCACCTTCCCTGCATGTGCACTCACAGGGTCTCTGGCTGTGTAACCCAGAGCAGGTTACTTACCCTGTCTGAGTCCTGTTTCTCACCTGTGAAGTGAGACTGAAAATACCTGTCTCATCGGGCTGCGATTCATCTATCCATCCATCCATCCATCCATCCATCCATCCATCCATCCTACATATACAAGGACTCACACAGGACATAGCCTCTGATGTCTGGTTCAGCGTCCTGCCCCTGACAGTCACTCGCACGCTGCACACATCAATAGCTTGCACCTCGTTACTACTGAGCGGTGCTCCCCCGGACAGGTGAGGAACACGATTCCATTCACCGTTGACAGACCTCTGGGTTCTTTCCAGTTCGGGGGCTGTTACAAATGAAGCTGCTAAGAATGTTCAGTGACAAGTCATTCTGTGGTCACGTGGTTTCACTGCTCTTGGGTACGTACCTGGGGCATATGCTAACTCTGTGATTAAGTTTGTAATGAACCACCAAACTGATCTCCAGAGAGGTCGCACCACTCTGCATTCCCGCCGGCAACACGTGAGGGTTCCTTCAGGCTTATACCCTCGCCAACAATCGCCGTTACCTTCCGTTTCCGTTCTAGACGTTCTGGTGGCTAGCTGATGGTTCCTCACCATTTCAATCTGCACTGTTTTATGTGCTTGTGGCCATTCGTCTATATTCTTTTGTGGAGTGTCTGTTAAACCTTTCTGCCGTTTTCCATAGGATTTTGGTTTACCTTCTTGCTGCTGACTTGTAGAAGTTCTGTACATATTTGGATGCCGATGCCTCATCAGATATATATTATCTACCAGCTGATGGCTTGCTCCGGAACTTTATTGATAGCTTTTGACATTATTTTTCTTCCTTCAACTTTCCCGTCACGCGGGCAACAAGTTCTCTCAGCTTTTGTGTGCTGACAGAAGTCTTTATTTTGCCTTCATTATTTGGGGGGGGGGGACACATTTATTGATGTCATTTTAATCACACACTACAGGCATCCCTCAGAGATACTATGGGTGCAGCTCCAAACCACTGCAATAAAGCAAATATTGCAATAGAGCAAGTCAAATGGATCTTCCGGTTTCCCGGGGCATAGAAAAGGTATGTTTACACTGTGGTCTATTAGATGTGCAGTAGCACGAAGTCAAAAAAACCACGTACATACCTTAAAAAGTACTTTGTTGCTAAAAAATGCTAACTGTCACCTGAACTTTCAGTAAGTCGTAGTCACTGATCACACATCAGCCCAACAAATATAAAACTGAAAAAGCTTGACATGTTGTGAGAATGACCGAAAGGTGACAGAGACACGAAGGGAGCAGATACTGTCAGAAAATGGCACCAACGCGCTCGCTCGATGCAGCACTGGCACAACCTTCAATTTGTAAAACACGCAGTGTCTGCAAAGCACCATAAACCGAAGTGCAACAAAGTGAGGGGTGCCTGTGTGACATTCATGTCATTCAACGTGGTTTCTAGGGTACTCAGACTTGGGCATTTATCCCCACAATCAATTTGAGGACTTTTTCGTCGCCCCAAGCAAGAAACCCCATATTCCTTAGTGGTCTTGCCTTCAGTTTTGAAAGTGTTTTTCTTTTTTCTTTTTTTCTTTTTCGGTGTGTGGCCGGGTGGGCGGGAGGCTTGGCACGGAATTGTTTGATTTCTTTCTTGTAAGTCTTTAAAGATACTAGCCCATTGTCTTCCGTTGGGCATAGTTTTAGGTGAGAAGTCTGTAATAATTCCTTTGTTCCATTGTCTGTGATGTGGGTTTTTTTTTTCCCCTCTTGCTCCTTGTTAGTTTTGTTACTATTTTTCAGAAATTTGATTACCACGGGCTTAGTAGGCTTCTGTTGTATTTATGCTACTTGAGATTCATCAACATTCCTGGATCCATGGGTTAACAGTTTTCATCAAAATTGGAAATTGTTTAGCCATTATTTCTTCAATTATCCGCTCTTCCCCCACCTCCTGGATGCCCCCCCCCCTTGGACAGGTAAAAAGATCCTTTATTCTCAGATTCCTGAACCTGTTCCCATGTGTCCCAGTCTTTTCTGTCTCTTTGCTGTAGTCTCAATAGAGCCTATGGTTTTGTCTTCAGGTTCACCAAGCCTTTCCTCTGCAATACCTACTCTCCCGCTAATTCCTTTGAAGGAATTTTTTCGTCTCAGAAATTGTAATGTTCATTTGCAGAAATTCCACTTGGTTTCTTTTCATACGTCCTGTAACACTCCCACTTATATTCACATTTTCCTTTAAATACCGAAGCATATTTCCAAAGTGTTTCAAGCCACCGGCTGCTACTGTCACATCACTCTCATTTCCGGGTCTACTTCCATTGACTCGTTCTTCTCCTGGCTTTGGCTCTCATTTTCCAGCTTCTTCTGTGACTGGTACTATTTGATCGGATGTTGGGCGCCGCATTCTATGATGCCGAGGGCTGGACCCCACTCTTACTACGGAGAGTGCTGGGTCTGTTCTGGCGGAGGCTCATTTGCAGATCAGCGCGACCTTTTGTGGGTTTGACCTTTTTCTTCGTTTCAGCAGGTGTTTGCAGCTTTCGCGCGCAGGCTATTTTAGCCCCACTAATCGGGCACGACCCTTTTGGCATCCCCACTGCGTACCTGGGTGTTCAACAGCCCGGTCACAACTTGAACGTCTCCCAGCCCTGGGAACGGTTCAGTTTACAGCGATCTGGTCACTCTCTGTCCACCTGGTGAAATGTCCTCTCCGCCTGGGTGGCTTTGTGTCCAGTCAAAGGCTCAGAGGCGCCCCCACGTTGCTCTCTGCACTCGCTCTGCGGGGCCCCCTCCCCTCCGGAGTACGGCTCCTGCTGCTCGGGTCACCGCCTCCTGACTCGGTCTCCCCTCCTGGTACTACGGCTCCAGAAACTGTCTCCGGGCACAAAGCTGGGTATTTTCAGAGTCTGCTGCCTGTGTCCCCAGGCTGAGTCCCAAGCAGCCTGTGCTCCGGTGCCTGAAAACAGTTGTTTCGTGTACTTTGTCCAGTTTGATAGTCGTGTACGGAGGGTGGTAAGTGCAACGCGGTCAATGCAGCGTGACAGAACCGTCTGCTGTTGTTTTCAAAACAGGAGATTGTCCAGAGGTGATCCTTCCAGCCAACGGTGACCACGTCTCCTCGTCTCTAAGCTACGTGCACAGAAACCAACTATTTGATAGTCCTGATGGGAACTTTGGCCTGAACGTGGCACGAGGGCACAGTGACTGTCATTAGAAACGTTCCTTGTCATCGTTCCCCCGTCTCTGCACCTCCCTGACGAAAACATCCACTTCTGTCTGGCACAAAGGCTGTAACTACAACCAACACCCTCGAAACTGGGTGTGGTGAGACAGAGAACACAGAGCAGAAGTTAACTCTGGGGAGTTTTTTTAATTATTATTCTTTGTCTCGCAGAAATGGAACATGTTCCTGGGAGCTGGAGCCATGTATCTGGGGGCCGGGTGCTCGTGAGAAAACTGCTTCTGGCCTCCCTGCTAAGCCCCCTGAGGTGCAGGGCAGAGAGGGGAGCCGGGTTGTGGCCCTGCCATGAGGATCAGGCCCTCAGTCTATCTCCAGCGACCCTCCGCCTCACCCCTGCTCTGGGCCAGGCACAAGGCACCACAGAGGAAGCAGGCCCAGCCCCTGCCCGCACGCAACTCCAGAGACGTGCTGCTGGGAAGGTGCCGTGGGGCCCAGGTGAGCACCTGTGCAGGGCACAGTGGTGCCCTGACGAGGGAGGGGACCTGCCCCCCAGGGTAGGAAAGGCCCTGACGGTGCACCCTCGTACTTCAGGGTCTCTGGGTCCTGAGCCCTTAGAGTCTGGGCTAATGCCTCCCTGAGTCACCGGCACTGGCCCTGTACCAAGCGCACGCAGGTGCTTAAAAAGCCTGGTTGCAGGAAGGAAGGAACGAATGAATGAATGAATGAACTAGACCAGACTGCGAAGTCCTCTCAGCCAGGCTGAGGAGCCCGGACTTTCTCAGGGATGCCGGGCGGGGAGGGGGGGGCAGTGAGGGGGAGCGACAGAAGGCGGAGACCCGGCCGTGGAGCGGCAGGACCCCAAGTGGGCACGTGTTGAAGCCTCGGTGGGGGTCGCAGCTGGGGAGAGCGTAGCAAGGGAGGGGCCCTTCCCCAGATCCGGAAGACGCTCACGCTTGGGGGGCCCTGCCCCCGGGGGGGCTGGTGGGGTGCCACCTGAGATCTGGCGAACAGGCAGCCTTGAGGAGGGCTAAGCATGCCATTCACAGGCAATCAACGCATAAAGAGAAGAAAAAACGCAGTGTGGAGAGTGTGGGAGAGAGCCGACCGAGGGGGTGCCGGAGGGCGGGGAGGGAGCTCCTTCCCAGAAGCCCAGAACCCGCTGCACTCTGTGCCCCCCGGGAAAGAGGGCCTGGGGGCCTGGTCCTGTGCTGGGGGCAAGGGTGGAGCCTGAGGTCAGTCAGGGCAGGCGGGCTGCTGCAGGTCTGAGTCATGAACCTGGGCTGGGACCTGCCTCTGCTCCTAGCTGTGGCCCAACAGGAGGAAGGAGGAGGGAGGAGAAGAAGGAAGGAGGAAAGGGAGGAGAGGGGAGGAAGAGGGAAGGAGAGGAGAGAGGAAGGAGGACGGAGGAGAAGAACAGGAAACATGAGGAAGCCAGCCCTCTCCTGGCACCACCACCGGGCACACGAAGCAGTCGGTGGTAGGTTTGCCCAGCTGACACCACCCTGCCCTCGATGAACCGGTCATGGCTGAAGCAGCGGGTCCAGAGCCTCTGGTAGTCCCAGCGTGCAGATAATGTGCTAGCCCTGGCGACGGCCGCCCTAGGCCGGCCTCGCCAGGTCACAGCCTTGGGGCGGCCGCCGCAGCTGGCTAGTAGGGAAGCGGGGACCTGGCGGGCCTCGCCAGCAGAGGACGGTGAGTTCCCTCCCCATCGACCCCTCCTTCCTCTTCCCTTCCCCTCCCCCCGCCCGGCAGACGACGCTGGTCTGGCGCCAGCTTATCTCCAGGCGGAAGCTTCCCTCCCGGAAGAGCTGCCCCACTGGCCGGGCAGGAGTCGGGGCCGCCTGTAAAGCCCCTCGGCCCCGACAGTGAGGAAGTGAGCCCGGCGCCCCTAGACTTTCCTCGGCCGCTCCCAGCATCGGGCCGTTCCCAGCGGGACACAGCGAACCCCGGACGGCGCCCCAGGGCGTCTGAAGCCCGCTGGGCGGAGGGCAGAGCGTCCCGTGGTTGTCCCCAGGCCGCCGAGGAAGTCCCGACGCCCTCTCCAATGTCTGTCTCCACGTCTCACGTCTGTCTCCCAAGGCCAGACTCCCACAGACTCCCATAGGCCATGGTCACTTGAGCACAAATCCTTTCGTCCCCTGTGCCCTAAACACTCTTCTGGCCCCAGGAAGAGCCCAGCGAATGGGCTCAGAGAACTTTGCCAGGCATGGGAGGCAGGCGGGCTGCCTCAGGACAGCTGCAGTGTCATCAGGGACACCCAGGGACACCCATGCCTTCCCCTCCCCCCCCCCCCCCCCCCTCCAGCCCAGGGGCACGTGGGAGCCATGCACGGTTTCAGAGGGAGCAGCCTATGCTCTCCCTGTCCAGCCTTCCCCTCCTGCTGGGGACCAAGAGGGCGCCCCTGCAGCTCCAGACCCTGCCAGCTGGGCCCTGGGTCCTCCTGGGTCACAGCCCCCAAGCAGAGTCTTGAAAACCACATCGTCCGTCCTTCCTTCCTTCCTTCCTTCCTTCCTTCCTTCCTTCCTTCCTTCCTTCCTTCCTTCCTTCCTTCCTTCCTTCCTCCTTCCTTCCTTCCTCCCTTCCTTCCTCCTTCATCATGGTATTGCATCAGCACTTAAAATTTGTCATCAAAACATTAATTGATTGCAAAGGATGCTGCTTCTGGGGAATTCTGAGTATTGGCATCTTTCACTCTAACTCACGTCGTCCTTTCGAGCACATCCCGTGGGAGGTCTTGCCAGAGCGAGACCGCCAGCATCTTCTAGCAAAGCCCACAGCCAGCATTCGTAAAAGTGGAAACTTCACCTTGTCCCCCTTTTGCCTGGAAAGCCTAGTTCCCTTCTACTTCCCCAAAGAACCGCACGCGAACGTAACGTGTTTTAAGACCGGAAGTGCCGCCTCGCCTTCTCCGCAGGAAAAAATTCCAGAGTCAACGTGGACATTGATTTCTTAGGAATGTCTTGTGGTCACAAGGCTCTAAATATTTAATAAGTTATTCTGGATTGGGTTATTTTTTATTTTTTTTTTTTTTACTAAGATGAGTAGAAAGCTAGCAAAGTAACACATACATTATAAATTTGGATAAGTCGTCGGAGACAGAGAAAACCTTTCTACGTAAGCTCTTGGTGCCACGGATGGTGTTGACCGAGGGGAACGCCCGGTGGCCGGTCAAGGGAGCCCCGACCGTGGAACCTTTTCTTGGTGCCCTGGGAGTCTGGGAGGCGAGGGGAAGCCTGGCGGCCTTCCTTCCGGACAGGTGCCTTCTCGGGGGCTCAGGTTTCGGAAGAGCATTTGCGGAAATTTGGAGTCTGGAGACTGAACCTCTGGGAGTCGGGGTCCTCCCGGGGCCCGGTCCGCTCGGCCCGGTCCGCAGAGCCCCCCTCAGCTCACACCCCACTCAGTGCCCACCACCTGCCCCGTCGCCTGCTGCCCGGGGGCTCCGGCGGCCCTGTGGGGAGGGGAGCCCCCTCAGCTCAGCTCCCACACAAGGTGGGTGATGGGCCTCTCCTGGGTCTCCCTGACCGCTCGCCCGGGCCACAGGGTGGCACGTGTGGTGTGCCAGTTGTGGAGAGCAGAGCGGTTCTCCAAGGAGATGTGAGCTCTGCAGACGAGGTGAGACGTCAGCTGAGCAGCTGAGCCCAGATGCTGGAGCTGCCTGGCTCTGGACCCCAGCTCCGCCTGTGCCCTCGGCTGTGCGTCCTGGGCAAGTTCCTTAACCTTTCTGGGTCTCTGCAGAGGCCTCCCCGAGGCTCGGTCCTGCGCCTTCACTGTGGTCCTTCTCCAGAAACAGGAGCGGGGGACGGGGATGGGGGGCTCCTCCCGGAATACCACTTAGCACGGACGCTACAGAACGTGAAAACCGCTCCTGCCCCCCGACCCGTCAATCTCTTTTCTGGGACTTCATTCCCAGGACATGACCAGGAACACCCACAGAGCACTGCTGGCCAGTGTAGGCTGCAGCCGCGATGCAAACGATGTAGGCAGTTAACACGGGGCTTTGGAGCCAGGCAGCCTGGGCCGGAATCCTTCCTCCGCTGCTGCTCAGCTGTGTGACCTTGGGCGAGCTACTTAGCCTCTCTGAACCTCCGAGTCGTCCCCTGCAACGTAGGGTTCGCTCAGCGCCGGATGGAACCGGCTTACGTGTCCGACAGCAGAGGAATGGCCAAGGTGACCGTTGGCCTTGCCTGTGAGGAATCGGGGCAGATACTGAAACTGATGTGGAAGGATTTGCATGATGGGGAAAGGGCGCCCACGGTCCGGGAGGTGAATAAATCAGGACACAGAGGAGTGTATGTAACGAGACCTCCAATTAAAGAGACTCGCGAGGGACGGGATGGAGGGGCTGCCTACCGACCCGAACCCGACAGGAGTCCCCTGGGGGGGCCCCTAGTGCGCTGGCTCGGGGCTCACGGCCACTGCCAGCCAGGGCTCACCCCCGTCTCTGCCTGGGACCCTCCATCTGTACTAACAGGCCCCTGTCCCCAGAGCGACCTCCCTGCCACGGGGCCCACGGGTCCTGGATCGCCCTGTGAGGGGCAGGCTGTGCAGAAGGACACCTGCCCGGGGCCGGCAGACGAAGCTTTCCTTTGGTTCTGGAAGCCGTTGGTTGGTTTCTCATAAATGCCCCGGGGGCACCCCAAAAGGAGAGAATGTGGGCATTTTGTACCACTCCCTTGTCACCCCCAGGTGCCCAGAGCAGCTCTCCGGTGGCGGTCCCAGAGAGATGTGCCCTTGCGGTCGACCCCACAGGCAGAGCCAGTGGGCTCGCTGCCCTGCCCACCTCCTTCCCTCCCGGGGGGACTTTCCCGCCATCACGGTCCTGCTCAGCCCTGCTGCTTCTCGGATCAGAAAACGCCCGCTTGCTGGGCATCACGGGTGGATGTGGCCTCCTGTGGTCGTCACTTAGGGGCCGGGGCCGTGTTTCCAGGGCGCTGCGAGCAGGGCGCAATCAAGAACCAGGGTCCTAAAAGCGCAGACCTTGGCCGCACACACAAAGTCAAGGGGACCACACTGGGCTCTCCAGGCAAATTTCAAGCTGTTGGTAAACACGCTTTCACTTCTTTCTTGAGGACCTACTACGTGCTGGGTGTCTTCCACGTTTGGTCACATGTTGCAGCGTGAGAATAGAGGCGACAAGATCCCTACACGCAGCCGGAATCCCACGTCCCCGCACGGTGGACACCAGTCTCCGGCCCCTGGACCCTTCCCCACGCCCACCGTGGCCCTCCGCACAGAGGTCTGGGGAAACGAAGGTGGACCGGGGCCCTCCTCTGTCCACTGTCCCTGGGCCCCAGAGCCGAGAGCCTCACAAGGACCCCTCCCCATCACTCATTCTGCTCCAGGCTTTTCCCACGTCCGCCAGGCACGCACCCCGCGTTCTCGTCTTCGTCCCAGCTGCTCCCTCTGGCTGCAAGGCTCTTCCCAAACGTCCCTCAAGTCTTCACTCAGGTCACCTCCCCTGTGAGGCCCACCCTGATTGCTCAACGGAAAACAGCAACTCTGCCCCTCTTCCTCCCTTCCTGTCTGGCACCTTCTAGCACATGGTAAGATGTACCTATCCTGTCCAGTGTTTCCCGCCCGTCCCCCGTTTACCAGAACGTGATCTCCATGAGAAGAAGGGTGTCCGTCGTGCTCACGGATGCCTCTCAAGCACCCAGAACACCGCCTGAGCGTGGCAGCTGCCCGAGAAATGTTGCTGTACAAACCCCGAGGTTAGAAACGTGCGTAGGACCCACACGAGCCGGTGGTGGCAGAGGTGGGATTTGAACCCAGACCTCCAAGCATCAAAGCCCAAGCCTGGGGCATCCATGAGGCAGAGTGTAATTACATAATTATTTCGTGGGCTCTCCCAGGTAAACTGAGGCACGCCAAACACGTGCCAAGGTGGCAAGAACCCATCCCACCGGGGCCTCTTGTGAGATGCTGTGGGCGCCTGGCAACGTGCCCACCCAGGGACAGACATGACTGGTCTCTGTGAATCGCCATCCTCCTTCTTGGTCCTCTGTGGCCCTGTGGGTGGACACGTGACCCGGTTCCGGCCAATGAGCCATATTAGAAGTCTTTGGGAGAGCCTCAGGGAAAGGGTTCTCCCTGATCAAAGAAGGGAGAATCATGTGAGCAGGGAGGCCTCTGCCTGTGTCTATCCCTCTTCCCGAGTTGGATACTATCCTGTGAGGATGTGATGCTTGGAGCTACGGCAGCCACCTTGAGACCATGAAGAGAGGCACCTCTGCCATGCCCAGGATCTCTTGGGGGCTGAGGGAAGTGGGGGTGGGGCAGTGAAGAAACCTGCATCTTTAATGACCCTGTTGAGCTGTTAAGTTACCCAACTCTGGGGAAAGGGGCCACTTCCAGGCTTTACGTTAAGACGATAAACATCCGAGGTGCCTGGGTGGCTCAGTCGGTTAAGTGTCCGACTTCGGCTCAGGTCATGATCTCACAGTTCGTGGGTTCGAGCCCCGCGTCGGGCTCTCCACTCAACACAGAGCCTGCTTTAGGTCCTCTGTCCCCCTCCCTCTCTGCCCCTGCCCTGCTCTCTCTCTCTCTCTCTCAAAACTAAATAAGCGTTAAAAACCAGATGATAAGTATCCATGTTGTTTAAGACACTAGGAGTTGGGTATTCGTTTTTATTCATCCCAAAGTGCCCTCAGTGACTCAGAGGCTTTGCACTTTCAGAGAAACTGGATAGACGCCCAATCGGAGGCCGTGTAACCTTCACGCTTAAACAAACACGGTTCTTTCCAGCCTGCAGGCAACCTCAGCCGCCCCACGTCGTTCTGAGCAGGTGAAGCAGAGATGCCCCCAACGCCAAGGGCAGGGGCCCCGCTGGGCACAGCCGCCCGGCACGGCGTGAGGCTCTGTGGCTGCCTGCGCGTGTGGGCAGCGGTCTCGAAAGGGGGCCCGCGTGCCCACAGGCTCCTGCCACCCGTGCCACCCCCACAGCAAGCGCTGGGAGCGGCCGCGGCGCACAGAGGCGCGTCCCGGGTGCCCGCCAGCACCACCCGCCTGCGGCCCGTGACGAAGGGGCCGCGGCTTTTCCAGGGCCATTCACGGAGGACAAAGTGATCTGTCCCCGGTGACGCTGTGGGAGGGCAGGGGCTCCCCTCCTCCCAACCCCCCCCCGGGTCAAACCAGGACTCCGTTCTGATGCTTTTTATCACGTTCCTAAGGCCTGTGCTTCCGGACCATCCTTGGAAACACGGCGGCCACTTCCCCTGTCTTTTAAAGTCAGCATCGAAAAAGAGCATTTTAATGGATTTTGCTTTTCGGACACAGCAAATTGATCTTTTGGAGAGTAGAGAGAAGTAACCCAGACAAATCCCTGGGAAGCTCTGATGAAAAGGAGAAGCTTCAGGCGAGGGGGGTGGGCACTCTCCATCCGGGGGTGGGGCACCGACCACAGAAGGGGTGGGGGCATGGTCCGCAGCGGGGGAGCCGCGTCGTAGGCAGAGGTGGTGTCCCCAGGACGCTGCAGGGTCGCCGTTCTCACACGCCCACACGGCGCTGCCCCGTCCTTTCCCAGAAAACACCACTTCCAGGCTGTGCCCCTCTGACGGGCAGGGCCAGGGTCACCCTCAGACCGAGGGTCCCAGGACACTCCCACCCCTGCCAGAGATGGTGTCGCCCCAGAGGTCCCTGGGTGGGGGCCACTGGGGGCGCTCGGGTCTTCCCTGGGCCACTGGCCCCCGCAGGGCCCCCGAGTCTCCCACGCACTCTGCCCGGCACCCTGCCCGGGACTCATCAGAGGCCACCATCCAGCCCTGGACGGGCTCCCACATCTCCAGGCCCCAGCCGCCCCCTCGAGTGACAGTCTCGGGTCCCTCACAGGGCCGCTGGCACAGGGGGGAGCCTGGGCCCCCAGCCCCATCCCCCTCCGGCCCTGCAGCACCCCGCAGTCAAACCGCCGACCTGCGCCCCACACCGTGTGCTGCCTGCCCCTGCCGCCTGGGTTGGCCTGACGGGCTCCTCCTCACTCCAAGTCAGAGCCCAAACACCACCTCCTCTGCGAAGCCCTCCCTGGAAGCTTCCAGACCCTTCCTCACCCCCCACCCGCAGACCTTAGTTTAGCGGGTGTATTTATGTCCTCACAAGAGCTCACCTGTCTCAGCAGGGACAAAGAACAGAGACCAGAGATGCTCACCTTTACAGACAAAGCACTTGATGTGGAAATACTTGTTCTGGACCCTCAGCACCTCCCCCTTGCACACATTTCCACACGTGTTGCACAGGATGGCCGTGCTGGGCGACTTCTCCAGGGGGCTGTGAGCAGCCTGGGGCTCCGACACTGCCGGGGGAAGAAAGGCCACGTTAAAGGGTGGGACACACCAGGCGCAGGTGAGTAAACCAGTGACTGCGCTCGCGCCCCCCCCCCCCCCCCCCCCCGCCAGCTCAAGCCCCATAGGGCGTCAGGGCACAGGCCCATCTTCTTTCCTGGGGGACCAGAGAGAATCAGATAACTTGAGGCCACCTGGTCAACCCCAGTGAGCGGCTCCTGTCTCTGGCGCCCCACACGTGGGCCATCCGTCCCCCATCGCTGTGTGCGCGCCTGCCGTGGTGGGGAGATCTCGACCCCATCCCAAAGGGTATCCTGGTCTCTTGCTGCGTTGACCGGCAGGGCCTCAGAAGCAGCCCCCTACCCCCACCCACTGAGCCGGGCATCCCGTCTACAGCCGGGAGACCCACAGTCCTCTCTTCTGCAACAGCAATAACCACGGTCCTCCTTGGAGCATGCTTCAAAGTCCCTCTGTGTCCCGGGGACGTGAACCTGAGTACTGGCGCGCCCTCCTTCGAGCCAGCCATGGCCTGGGGTGTTTGTGGAGGTGTAGAAACCCACCGAGGGGCAGGTCGGGGTAGATGGTCAAAGGGCCCGGCTCTGGGGCTCTTGGGGTCTGGGGGGGCCATATGCTCCTCTCCCACATCCTCCAAAAGCCCCTGTGGAGGCCAGCGGACAGGACACAGGGGCCCACAGCAGGCCAGCCCCTTAAGGAGCCCCAGCCTGGCGGTGAAGACAGCCCAAGGGGCACAGCTGATGCCGGGGGAGGCCCAGGGGCTGGGGACCAGCAGAGTCGCTTGAAACACAGGGAGGAGCCGGCCGATGGCAGAGCTGGAGGCTGGCACGGAGGCCTGCCGGGCAGAGAGCATGGCCCACGCAGGGACCTGAGCCAGCTGGATCCTTCCGACTCAGGACCAACCCGAGAAAGCCAAACCTGCTTCCCTGACCAGCCGTGTGGTCACCCCTTTCAGCGGACTTCCCGGCCTCCTGGACTCCCAGCCTCTCCGGCCTCCCATCAGACCCACCCCAGCCTCTTTCCTCCTCTGGGAAGCCCCCCCACTGCTCTGCCCGCCTCTGGGGCTCTGGCAAACGCAAGTGAGGGGGGACGACCCCCCGCTCCAGCCAGTGCTGGGGAGACAGCTTTGACTTTCTCATTTGGGGGTCTTTGCTTACTTTCACATCTTCTTTTTATTTATTTTATTTATTTTTATGTTTATTTATTTTTGAGACAGAGAGAGACAGAGCATGAACAGGGGAGGGTCAGAGAGAGAGGGAGACACAGAATCCGAAACAGGCTCCAGGCTCCGAGCGGTCAGCACAGAGCCCGACGCGGGGCTCGAACTCACAAACTGCGAGATCGTGACCTGAGCCGAAGTCGGACGCTTCACCGACTGAGCCACCCAGGCGCCCCTATTTTCACATCCTCTAATGCCACCCTCCTTTCTTGGTCTGGACAGGGTGCAGGTGGTGTACCTGGGGCAGGAAGCCTGCAGGAGAAAGCCCAGGTGGGCTGAGGGGTGCGGGGTGGCCGAGGAAGGACCTGCCACACTTCGTTGGAGCATTAAGCTACTTGTACCCACGCACACCCACGAACACGGTTGTCTAACGCCAGCTTTGAGTGAGCACCACACCTCGGGGTCTCCTCGTAAACATCAAGGAGGTCACGCCAGACAGAGAAGGACATTTCTCCATCCGATTCCCCCCCCACCCCTTGCCCCCCAGGACCCCGCATCCCGGCGGCCCCCCCATCCACCAGGGCGGGGTTCCTCTCTGCTGCGGTCCCCGCCCGAGGTGGGGACATTGCGTGGGTGGCACAGAGGGGGAGCGGGCCATGCTGGGGACAGCAGGCTGTCTGAGGAGGAGAAGGCTGTGAACACCCCGAGGGCAGCAGGGTTCCGGCTATCTGGGGACGAGAAGCAGGTGCAGGAAAGGAGGTGAGCGGCATGAAAAGTAATTTGGCGTCTCCCTGGGCACCCTGGGCCGGGAGTCCGCGCCTGCCTTGTGCCTCCAGAGGGATCCAAACAGCAGACTGCGGGTGCGGAGCCCGGCGGGGCCCCTCGAGTTCTGCTGCCCTCCTGTAGCCGCAGCGACCCTCCCCGCTCTAGCTGAAGTGCCAACACTGGGCTCTCCCTGTGATTCTCCTTCCTGAAGAACGAGTGCAGAAACCGACTTGATAAAATTAGCGGAAGAAGGCAGAGGGCGGGATTTGAATTTAAGACTCGAAATTCAAGACTGGGCTTCAATTTAAGACTCCCCTTGAGGGATGAGCCGCTGGAATCCGGGTTTGAAGCCGGTGAATGGCCCGGCGGGCTATGGAGTCACCCTGTCCTCCTCCGAGGCTCCATGGAGACTGTGCAGGGGCGGGGGGGGGGCCAGGGGGTGGAGGAGGACTGAGATCCTCGACACTGGACACTGTTATCTTCTCATCTGTCAGGCATACAAAGGACAACAGCCGATCGTCTGTCCGTGAGCAGACAAGCAAGTTTTTATACTGCTGGGATCTGGTTCAAGGCCAGGGAGGGAAGGTCACTGTCAGAGAGTCCCGCGGGGGGAGGAGTAGTGCAGGCAGTGGGGGCAGATGGCCTGGGCGCAGCCCCAGCCTCACCTCCTATGTGCTGTGACCTGGAACGTCCAGCCTTCCACGCAGCCATCCCTCCGCCCGGCTGCCTCGTTCAATCACCTGCCCCAGAGCGTTGCTAGGATGTGGGCTGGGTGCACAAGAGCTATTGTCACTTTCCAGAACACACGGCCTGACACCCTCAGTTGCCTGGCTCCTGGAGATATATCTGACCTGCGGGCAGAGCTGCTTTAAGACACGCTTTGCTGAGGGGACCCGACCCTGCCCACGGAGGAGGGGACCCTCTAAAGCCTCCTGGGACCTCCGGGGCGGTGAGAGCGGTGGTGCTGCCCTCTGGTGGCGGGAAGAAGACACTGCGCCACGGAGACAGCCGTGGGCCTCGTGCACAGGTGTTCCCTCCGGCCGGGCACCTGCCCGGATCCCACCCGTGAATCCTGCAGATCTGCGGCGTGGGCCCTCTGACCCCCCGAGACGGACTCAACCCTTGCGCCTCCTGCACATGCCCACTTGCAAGAAACCCCCATACGCAGACCACGCTGGGGTATGTGCTCTCTGTTGTCCCTGATGCTGCTGAAGGAGCTGAGGCCCAGAGAGATGGCCCAGGCCCGGCGCGTGACGACACCCAGGGTTTTCTCCACTCGGCCCCGGGACAGGGATGGGCTGTTCTGGCCAGGCCTGGTGTCCGGGGTGTGGGTAGTACATTAAAAAAAAGAGAATTCTCGAGAAACTAGCTACCAAGCCTCAAAAAGACAGGGAGAATCCTACATGCACGTTACCAAGAGAACGAGCCCGCTACGGGGCTGTAGGATCCCACGCACAGGGCATTCTGGAAAAGGCAAAACCATGGAAACAGGAAACAAAGATCAGCGGTCGCCAGGGCGTGGGGGCGGGAGGGGTGAACGGGCACACAGAGGGCGTTTACGGCCACGAGACCCCCGTGGGGACACCTGTCACGGCACACTCGTCCTGCCCGGAGTCACCCCAGCGGAAACTTCAGCTCATTCTACGGCAAGCACACCCTACCACCGCAAGATGCAAACCCCAGCGGAAAGTTCCGAGTGTGGCGTCCATGGGAACCCCGCTGTCTGTTCGGTGTTGCTGTGGACGGACGGCCACTCTAGGAGACGACGTCGGGGAAAATTTTTAAACGAAAAGGAGAGAGAGAGAGAGAGAGAGAGAGAGAGAGAGAGAGAGAGAGAGAGAGAGAGAGAGAGAGAGAGAGAGAGAGAACGGCCACGCCGGAGCCCTAACCACACGCACAGCGGGCTCTTCGCACTACAGACCCCCAGCCGTGATCATCACGTAAAACATAAACACGAGTGGCACGAATCGATCCCACAAAGGGCTGTGGCCACTTAATCCCCCTGTGCTAGTGAAATCCCGGCACCGGGGGGCCTCGCAGGGAACAGGAATTACTACAGGCACCACCACTGCGTAACGCCCGCGGTCACAGGGGAGGGACGCGGCCAGCGTGCCCTGACCGGGGGCCAGCCCCGCAGCCCCCGCGATGCCCGGCAGCCCCTCCAGGCTGCGACCGTGCTCTCTCTCCAGGAGAAGCCGTGTGCTGCTGGAGCTGGGACGGGAGCCAGCAGGGCGGGCTGTGACATCCGGGGGCGGCCGCGTGACCTTGGAGAGCTGACCGAATCCCAAGAAGCCTCAGTTTTCACATCTATAAATTGGAGCTCGGTCTCCTGAGGAATTGTTTTAGGCTCCATTAAAGTCGAGGAAGCCCCTGGTGCAAGGCTGTCCTGGTGGTCCCCAGGTCCCCAGATCTCGGGGGCCTCCCCACAGCTGGGGGTGGGGACGGGGAGGAGGCTGCCAGGAGGGAGACCGGAAGCTCCCAGAGGGCCATGCCTCGGCTCACACGCCAGCCTCGTTTGTAGATGTCCCCAGATTTGCCTCCACGCTCCAGTCACCTCGTGACGTGGTGGGGTAGACGACGGAGGGGGTGGGGGGGCGGAGCCGGAGAGCCGTACTGACACGAGCTATGCCCCTCCCTGGCCCTGACACCTTGGGCAGGTCACATGCCCTCCGAAGCCTGTTTCCACCTCCGCGATGGGGATAGGCATTCCCAGATGGGGGACCCCGATGCATCTCCCACTTCCCAGACCGCAAAGCACCTGCCGTTCGTGATCCTCGGGACATTTCTAGCCGTTTCTTCCGTTTTCTCATGTTGGTGCTGGTGTTCTGTTCCTTCCCCGAGGGTCCAGTTCGTGCTGGAGCCCGGGCTGGCCATGCCTGGCAGGGCCAAAGACCCACAGTCCCTGGTCATCTGGTGCAGGGTTTGCTCCGGACGGACACGCACCTCGGTACAGGACGTGGGACCCTGTGCGCTCCAGTTCTGACTGGACCCCGTGGCCCCGCCAGCCGTGATGGCTTCGCTGTGCTCTCCCCTCTGCTGTTTGCATCCTGCAAACCACCGGCCGGGGTTCCAAACTGCGTGACTGTGTTCTAATATCAAATAGCCTCATAAACCATGCATGCACACCCACTCCTGAGACTCCGATATACCCAGGGTGGGTCCCAGGCACACAGGGGGCATGGACCTCTGTGCAATCAAGGAGAACTTCTGGGAGGAGGTGACACGAGGTAGGCAGGTGCCTTCTGGGTCTTCAGCAAGGGCACGTCACCGTGCTCATTTCCATCACGGTCCCGACCGCGCTGGGTGGCCCCCGCCCGTCGGCCTGTGTGCCCGCCTCCCCCCGCGTGGAAGGCCCCCAGGGCCAGGGGCCAAGTCTGGGAAGTGTGTGTCCCTTGGGCCCGGTGTGGGGGAGGTGGCTCTCACACGCCCCGCGTGGCCATAAGCATCCCTGTGGCTTGCGCACCCCTCCGGCACGCGTGTTTCTTGGCGCTGGTTTTCTAAGTACAGGGTTAATGACGCCCCCACCCCCGTGTCCCGGAGGGTCTGTCTGCCCTGCCCTCAGAACGCTCTTTTACAGGCTGTGCCTCAGGTCAGGAGTAGGTCGCGCTCTCTCCCGCCGCCCTCCCCAGTGCTGCGTGTCGGAAAATCACTTCAAATCACACGGGAGCACTCCCTTCGCTAACCTACTTACGGGCCGACTGCTAATTATAATCACGGAGCTGGCCGTTCTCTCCGAGGCCGTCGGCAGCCTGGGCCCAGCAAGCAGGCTCCCCAGACGGGCCAGAGGGGCGATCCTGTCTGACCCTTCCAGGAAGCCATTCATCCAGTCCTCCACCAGCGCCAGCGAAGACGCTGCGGGTACCTGCTCCCTGCCGAGCTCGGGGCAGTTCCCGCCCCCAGGGGTCTGCACTCCAGGGCACAGAGTTGGGGGACAGAAACACCCCACCCAGAAGCTCGTGGCACCAGACGCCTGAACTCCCGTAGCAGCCACCCTCAGGCCCGTTTCGATACCCACACCATCGGACCGCAGGGACCCCTGTCCCCCTGGGGATGCCACCTCGTGGGAAGCTGTTCCCTCCACCCCCCGGGAGTGACCTGGCCCTCGGCCGGTTCCCCACAGATGTGGCCTCTGGTTTCTCTGTGGGGCTGAGTGCGCCCACACGAGCCCTTGACCTGCCCCAGGACCAGACTGCAGTCGGCCGGCAGCGATCAGCTCTGCTTGACCGGGTTCTAGGACGGGGACATGGGCTCAGCACAAGCGTTCGCAGGCAGAACTGAGCATGTTAAAGTGCTGCACACTCCCGGCCAACTTCTGCCCGACACCATGACGTCTGGGGGGCAGAGCCACCGGGGGTCCCCTGGGCCCCGCTCAGGGCCGGGGACACGGCGATAAGTGTCTGCTGGGTGGCTGAGCCGAACCTCCTCTCCCGTTCACCCCACTGCGCTGAACGTCCCCTTCACCCTCGGGGGCCCCGCACCCAGCCCAGCGCCTGGCACCTGCTAGGCATTCGAGAAATAGGACGAATCAACACACACCACACTGAACTGCAACATTTTGGGACAGGTGCCTTGCCCGTCTCCACCTGCACGCCGCGTGCCTGGGCATCCGGCAATGTGACCGCCCCTCCTTCTGGAGGTCTGGACGCTCACCGCTCCGAGCAGTTCCTGGAGGCAGATGCCCGTCCCACAAAGCTCTTCTCCAATGTGGCTTTACCACATCTCCCACTAAGTGTCGGGGTGGGAGACCCCTCCCCTGGAACACGGGTGGACATCTGGGGACGGCCTCGGCCAACAATGTGATGGAAACAACTCCACGTGGCTTCCAGGCCAGATCATCACGCCACAAGCTTGCTTTTAAGGACGCTCCTTCTTGGAGCCCAGAGGCCACGCTGTGAGGAAGCACGACCACCCCAAATACAGAGGGATCGCACGCAGCACGCACGTGAAGCTGTTCTGGCCGCCAGCCACGTGGGCCACCAGCCACGTGGGCCACGACGCCTCCAGGGGCTCCATCATCCCCAGCTCTCGGGTCACCCCCAGTCTTTACGTCTTCCCAGGAGAAACCACAGACATCGTGGGGAGGACAGAAAACGCCCCTGCCATGCCCTTTCTGGATTTCCGACCCTCGGAACCCGTGAATGTCCCAGAATGTACGTTCGGTGCTGAAGATTTGGGGCGGCGTGTTATTCGGCCACAGAAAACCACAGCCAGACCCCCAGAATCCCCTGCCAAGTCCCGACATGGCGTGCCTCCCCCTCTGCACACAGCCGGCCTGAGGCTCACTCCAGACCTCTCCAGACACAGGAACGTCCCTCCCTCCACGGCCCAAGTCCCACGAGGATGTGCTGGCTGCTTTGATTCAGGGAAGGAAATGCCCAAAGTCTGGCATGACCTTGTCTGGAGTCCTTCCTGCCACCCTGGGGTAGACACTCTTGTGCCCTTTTGGCAGAGTGAGAAACCAAGCTCAGAGAGGTAAGCTAACCAGCCCAAGGCCACACAGCCAGGAAGGATGGAGTCAAGATTCAATCCCCGGTCTGCCCTCCTCCCGCCAACCTACCCTGGCTCCCAAGTCCCAAGTGTCTCGGGAGGTCCGCATTTGGACCTGGTGGGAGACTGTCCCCTTGAGCCCACGGGCTCACAGCAAGGGGACAGCCCAGACGACAGAGCCCCCAGGACAAGCTCCGGCAAGGTGGCAGGACCAGGGAAGGCGGCCTTGAGCACCAGCAAGGTCAGGTCCTTTGCTCGGGTCCCTGACCTGCTCAATACCCTGCCCACAGCCCATAGGACCCATGTCCCCGAGGGACCCCCACGCCTCCACGCCCCGCGCCCACCTGGTTCCCTGACTTCTCCCCCACTGCTTGCTGACCCCAGACCCTTTCCCAAAGTTGTCCCAGCACCAGCCCCGGCCCCCGCCACGCCGTCTCCTGGGAGTGAGGCTCCTGCCCCTTCACCTGCGAAGACGACTGACCCCTCAGGCCTCCTCTGTACCCACAACGCGCTCACGGGGAGCCCGCGTGCTGAGCCCCACGCCCCGGGGGGCGCTCTGGGCACTGGCTCCTCTCGATGCTGCAGCAGTGGGGTCCCCCTGGGCCACCGACTGCCACCTGGAACAAGCGAAATCTCCTCTCCAAAACGGCCAGTGAACCTCTGGCCGCCTCTGCTGGAGACCCCACTGGGGGCTCCCGTCTCTCTCTGGGGCCCCCTAAAGGCCAGCACGGGGCTGGGGGAACAGAGGACCCAGTTCACCTCAGACCGCCTGGGTCACGCTCCCCGTCCAGGAGGCCTGGGCGTGGGTGTGAATCCTGGGCCACCCCGCCCGACGTGGGCCCCTAGCCCCCAGCGCCTCAGAATATGACCTGACTTGGAGGCAAGGTGTTTACACAAGTGGTCAAGCTAAAGTGAGATCATCGGGTGGCCCTGCTCCAACACGACTGTCCTTATGCACAGTGGACATCAGGACACAGAGGGGACCACGTGCAGACACAGGGACAGGACAATTGTCTACAAGCCGAGGAGAGATCCTTCCCTCACGGCCGTCAGAAGGACCCCACCCCGGCGACACCTTGATCTCAGGGCCCCCTCCCCTCCAGAATGTGAGCCAACATCTGCTGGACAAGCCCCAGTCGGTGGGACTTTGTTACTGCATCCCCAGGAAACAAATCCACCATCCCCACGGGTGGAAAGAGCCAGAAGCCAGGCCTGGGATGTGCTGGTGCCCCACCCCCCCGAGCCTGTTTTCCATCCGCAGGGGGACGATGATGTTACCAGCCACCCCGACCCCTCCCCCCGCCAGGCTTCCTGAGGAGGGAGACGGGGCAGGGCTGGCCCGTGGCGGGGGGCTCCTTCCCGAGGCAGAAGCGGGGGGGCAACGCGGCCGTGAGCAGCCCCAGAAGCTCAGGCTGGCCGCAGGGCCTCCCGCAGGCCTCAGCCGGGGCTCCTGGCAATTCCCAGGATGCTCCACGCTCCAAGCAGCTGGTCCAGGAGGCCTCTCCACCCACGTCCCCGAGGGTATTATTTCATTGCCGGAAGAGCGGCTCCTCCTGACCGGAGAGGCATCTGAGGACCTCACGGGCAGCATTCCGGAAGGTCAGGGCATCTGGGCCCGTCCTGTCCCCACACAGGCCCAGGGGAAATGGCCAATGGCAGAGGGGGGGGGCCCCGCCCAGGTCACACAGAGTCTGGGCAGGCCGGGTGCAGGGCGGGGGTCTCCAGGCCCCCAGGCCGGTGCTTAACCCTCCGGTCACATGGCCACAGGCCAGGGTGGTCACCTCTAGAGCAGTAAGCGACTCTGTCTGGGTCGGAACGTACATCCAGGGTCCAGTACCCGGCATATGCCCCAGTAAACGTTCCTCAAATCTAACGGGAACAGGACACATATCCGATGACTCAAAGCACTGCACGGGGCACCAGCACGGGTGACAATGACGTGTGTGACATCATCTTTCGGTTCCCGTTCCCCGGGCTAAGTGCCAGGCACTGCATTCGGCGGTTTGCGTCCCCGATCGGCTCCCAGAGCAGGATACAGGGACGGGGGACAGCTGAGACAGGAACGCGGGCCACGTGACCTCCAGCCCCAGCTGTGGCCTCCCACCGAGATCTGTGAGGGCCGAGGCCCTCCCGCCGGGCCAGCTGCCACGGGACCCCGTCGGTGTGGGGCCCGCTGGCCGGAGGCTGCCAGTGCACCCCCGGTGCACCCTGGCCAGTCAGGATCACCAGCCTGTGCAGCCCAGGACTCAGAAGACAGGGCTGCAGCCGTGACCCGGAGACACCCCGCCCGGACGGGGGCCCAGCTGCCCCACTGGACACCGTCGGCAAGTCCAAGCCCCTGGGAGCGCCCTTGGCTTTGGATCCGGCAGGGGTGGCCACAGGGGTCTGAGAGGCCACTGTCCCCCCTTGACCTCGCCTCCCTGTCTGTGTCCCAGGAGGACACCGCCCATTTCCTGAGGCCCACTGAGCACCGGCCACCTCTCCTCCAGTCGTCACTTCATTCACACAACTGGGAACTGGCCTCTGGTGGCAGCTTTACAGATGGACAGGCAGAGGTTC